AGATGTGCTCTGGTCGATCCGATCATTCTGCCGCTTCTCCGTGTTTTTACTTATTCAGGACACCAGATCGTATTCTAAATATGTATGTGCACTCTGACTGGGATTGTTCTCACTTGATGATTGACCACAAAGTATTTTTAGATTCGGCTGACTTGGTGCGTTTTCCAGCGAGCCGTCTTCACCGTGACCGAACGCAAAGCAGGGTTTGATGAGGAGAGCGCCGGACTAAATGATTCAGGCGATGAAGACGGAGGAGAACCGTCCGACGTGCGCTGCATCCCAATCAGCCGTACATGTATCCAAACACGCTAATTATGTATTATGGCTGTTAATGAGCCATGGCTCTGATTGTCAAACATTAGCTCGTCTCTCTCTCTGAGCCAATTACATTTTTATTGGCTCCTCGCTCTGCGTGGATTGAATTTAATGCACCGGCTGCGTCCGTTTGACAGCCGTGCTCGTATATGTGTATATGGTGAGAAAACAATAATCAATCTCACGCGCACGGAAATGGATCTCACGCGCAACAGCATGGAAACAGTTAGTCCAAGTGAGACACGTCCTGCAGGCCTCGCTCGCTCTCATCACACCCACATACATCATCAGCTAACACGCGTCGTACTTACGCCTCTATTGTGTATTTTCATGTAAATTGTTCCCGTGGAGGCTGTTAAATATTCACGTCCTTTATCTCCCAACCGTTACACCAGCAGAAACGTCTGATGGGAAAAGTATGGGATGGAAGAGCCTTCTGGTTTTCACCCAGAAAACACAAACAAGATTTTACTGGCTTTCTGAAAGCTTCCTGCTATTCATTAATGTTTTATACAGCGTGGTGAGGCAGGGGCATTAAAAGCTCTGAGAACATTAAGAAAAAAACAAACTTGCTGATTGATATACTTTTGTGGTGAAGCGAGACGTGGACGGACGAGCCAAACTAAACCTTTATTGTGATTTTGGAGACTTTTGTGTGTGTTTTAAACTGTAATTTTGTTTTTGTTTTTTTTAAGCAAAAGCCAAACCGGAGCTTTTTGTTTCAGCACTGTGGATGTTACATCACTAGAGTCATCCTCTTAGAGACAGCATCGGGTCTTTGTGCAGAAAACAAAAGCGCTTCCACACACTGGATGCTGAGTGTGAGACGCTTCAAGGAGGACGGAGTATTGAGGTCTTTGAAACAAGCGCCAGAGCAGCGAGAGGTGCAGCTGATCCTGATGCCTTCCGAAGGTGCTTTTGCACCTGCTTGTTCGGTGCGCTCGGATCAGCCCCTCCAGCGTTTCCCTCCTGGTTTGTATCATGTGTGAGGAGAGAAAACCCTGAAGGCAGCGCCTGCCAAACAGCTGATCCCTGGTCAGACAGTTAGCGCCACTTTCATGAGGAGAGATGCAGCGATCAGATATTTTTTGTCACACACAATACACAGCGCCGCAACAAAAGAACCGTCTTGTGGTGACGACTGGCGGCAGCAGCAATAAAAAAAATGTAAAAAAAAATAATAAAAGATCAATCAGGGCTGACTGTGCTTTGAATTTATGATTCTCTCTGTCAGTCTGACTGCTGTTCAGCGCTGATTTCAAACTCTTCAAAGTCAGCAGATGACCTCGATTGCGATCCGTAAAATATTTTCTTTCTCTCGGTTTCTAAAGCAAAGTCTTTATGCAAATCCTATAATATGACCAACTGTATATGTTCCAGTGGATTACCTCACAGGTCTCTATTTTTAGCTGGTGATCAGTAATTTAGAGGAGAAAAAAGAAAAAAAGGAACGAAAATAAAAGCAGCCACAGAAAAAGGAGGAGCGAAAGCTGAAAACTGGGACAGCGCTGGGTTGTGTGTGAAACCAGTGGAAATGTTGACACGCTGTACAGTCAAGAAGCATCACACGCGTGTTCTCGTCCATGAGCTGCAAGGATGCATCCAAAGAAAGACTGAAATGATGATCAGCAGATATCGGAAATTGGTGTTAATGCTGTAGACGGATATATAAGATTGATTTTTATATAAAATCAGTCAACACGTCGCCCATGTGCGGCGCAGCCTCGCTTTAAAATCCAATCAGCGCAGTGATAGTGTGATGGTGATTAATTACGAGATTAATTATGGATGAACATTTGAAGAGTTTTAATGTTGGTAAAATAATATAATTACAGCGTCGCAGCTGTTTCCACTCGTCAAGGAGGAAATTATGATGCCGAGGAGCTGAATAGCTGCAATTTCAGACCTGAATGCATCGATATGAACATCATGTATACATCCAGCCGCCCGCCCACTCACACATAGTCCTCCTCTGTGCAGACACATCCCTCATCCTGCTTTAATTGGTCTGGTGTGAATCAGCCGTGGTCAGACAGGCCACGTTTATTAGCCTCCATCAGAGCCCAGTCAGCCTCCATCATCATGAGCAGGACACTACATGACCTCTGATTTATGTTCCACACTAAACACAACCCACTGCCTCCTCTCTGAGCCGTTTTTTTTTTTTTACAGTAAATTCTTAGATCACGTCTACTCATTGCTTCTGCATTGTGGTGTATTTTTAACTTTTTGCATAACGCGGCTCTATACACACGGTAATCATGTGTGTTTTTGCTTCGCTGACTAATGAAGTTTCGTACTAAAACTGTGCGCGTGCTTCTTGGAATTTCAAACCCCTCATTTCCTTTGTGGACATTTTCTTGACGTTTCTATTATTAGAGGTATGACTGCTGATGGATGTCTTTAAAAAAAAAAAAAAAACTCTTCCCGGCTGCATGCAGATGGTCAGTTTTGTGCAGCATGTGACTCATGTGCTCAGAAAGCAGCGACGCTTCACGACTCGTCCCCTCAAACTCGCCTGCCAGCTCCGACTGGAAGGCTTCCAGAAGCTCTGCTCAACGCGCGGTGAATCCTCAGCTTCTGGACACGCTGTACCTGCCAAGTGGCCTCCGGATGTCGTGCCCTTCATTCATTATCGGAGCGGCTGCACCAACGGCTCTGTTTAATAACGGTGTGAGGGTTAATAGGTGGAAGGAGGAAGGTTTTCTGGGATTGAAACACTGACGTTGATGTACAGTTTGATGTTTTTAACAAGCACAGACTGTGTGTTGCTTTGCATTGTCTAATCACTGCATTTATGACGTGCAAACAGATGCTGTAAACACACAATCTTGCCTAAAGTCTGAACCTGTTTCTCCGTCCCTCTTTGCTTTGCTGAAGGGCTCAGTGACAGCAGAGGTTGTCTAACCTCCAGGCACCTCCTTCAGGCCTTCAGGATGTTTGGGATGATGGTTTGACAACTCTAAATAAGCTCTGTGTCACATTTTGCTGCACTTAGCATCTTCAGGGAAACTCAGGAAACAAATCGTTCTCAACAGCAGTTTGTTTTCTTTGATAACGGAGCAAGAAGTCTAAAAAAAACACATGCAAATGAACGTGATCGAGTTTCTTGTTCCAGTAAAAGCTCATTTTAAGGGGGAATATTTCAGTGGGAGATTGAGGAACGCTTCAAAATCCTAATTTTTGTCGCCCTTTCTTTAATTATTCTACTTTAGTTCTGACATTATCCTCACAGTGCACGCCCACTGTAATCCAAACGAGAGGGCGTCTGATAAAAATTTGTCAACTTTAAGAAGCAGCAGAAAGTGCATGGGTATCTGTTGTCCCTGGGTTTTGTCTGTCAGGCTACAAACGCTCTATTTGTGCAGGTTTGTGTGCTATTACAGAATAAAACTGCACAGTTCATCCGTCTACATGTTAATAAAGTGAAAAAATAAACTAAATTCGATGTGTGTTCCAGTTGTAAGCAGCACACTAACCTATTTCATCACTACTTGTTACTCACTACGTTGATTATAATAAGTGCACGTTTGGAACACTTTTACACCTCCTCTCATGCTGCAGAGCCGAGTGCAGCCACAGACGTCCTCCCACCGCTCAGCTGCTCGCCACTAATATTTCTCTTTGATCATCAGCTATGACTAATGAACCCGGCTCTTATTTGTGTGTCAGCGTGTTGTTAACGCTGCCTTCTCACGTCTGCGGTGATTAAACGCCTTGCCTCATGCGGGGTCTGACAGATTTACGAGCCGTGAACTGTCAGTCACTGTCGTCCACGTCCTGATATGATGGATGGGAAACACTCTGTCGTGCAGCTGATCAACGCTGCTCATAGCATTAGTTTATGGCTGGTGTTTTGGTGGCTCTCTGTCCTCTGCTGTTTACTGGACAAGAGGGGGGAAGGGAAAAGGGCCGGTTGTGTGATCAGTATTGATCTTGGAGTGCTCACGCTCCGGGGAAAATATATCTACGTTCCATCTGTGGTGTGTTGGCATCCGGACACGAGAGGAGGTTTGTGGGCCGCGTGTCTGGTGAATGAAAACAGCTCTGATAACACAGCTGTATTCACCAGGTGAGTTCAGCGGCGATTAGTCAAGCAGGTCACACACTAACACACACTCTGCACACACAGCGAGGAGGTCAAGGGCACGGCCAGGACTGAGCACAGCAGCGTGAAATTACATGTCATACTAATAGCAATCATGTCAGCCCACGAGGACACGCGGTTAACTCCGCAGCACGATCAATTACCGATCAGGTCACGTGACGCCGCCGTGCTGCTGCTGCTGTTGTCCTGCTAACTGTTGACTGTGTGTCAAATGAGTCATTGTTATGTGCCGCGGCCTCGTTTGTTTTGACCGCTTCCTCTCATTATAGCTCACTATACGGCGTGGTATCGTTTTAGAGCGTGAGGGCGTTAAAGCACGTCCAGTTAGAGGTGTTATTGATGCATATCTACACGAGCAGCTGATTGAAGTGTTCATCAGATGAAATGCAAACGTCTGTTTTGTTTTCACACCAGCTGTGACGGAAGTGTTTGGAAATGCTGCCCTCATGTGTCTCTTCTGAGAAATGCAGCAGCAAACAAAGATCCTGGATATGGGTCACAACTTTTTCCTCTAGGGTTTTTTTTTTTAAAAAAGAATACTTATTAAATAACATCTTTTTTTCTTTTTTCTCTCCAGGTTATGGACACACTGTCTAAACTCTCCCACACAGTGATCGCACAACAAACTGGAATCAGGTAGAGAACACCTGTGTTTGTGTTGACGATGTAAAATGATGTGATTTTGTCTCGTGATGTCATTTTATGCAGACTTACAGTCGTCCTCAGATGTATTCATAGCCTCCCATTAAAGAAGGCAAAAAAAATCACTAAAATAAGTTGAAATTGACAAAAGTAATAATAAATAAAAATGTAATGAAAATCATGAAGTTGCTTTTGAATTGTGGTTCATCAGAAATATTTAAAAAATAATAAAAAAAAAAAAACAAGCATGATGAGAGCAGCAAACTAATATTTAGTTGAACAACCCAATCACTGCCATCAGGTGTTTCCTGTATCTCTCAGTCAGACTTCTGCACCTGTTGACAGGTATTCTGGACCACTGCTCATCAGCAAAGGGCTTGAATTTGTCTGTTTTGTTTATTTTTTTAAATTACTCTTTTCAACCAAAGTTCAAAAGCAACATCTTATTTCACTAAATTATAATTTAGCATTTTTTTATTTATTACTACTTTTTCCAGTTTCTACTTATTTGAGTGACTGCTGTGAATTTTGCCTTTTCTTTAATGGAAGAATACATTTGAGGACAACTGTGTAAATCATTAAATGTAACTCACTGTGAAGGAGAATCACATGACAATACATAATATAAATAAGTTAGATGAGATTTTAAACCTCACTCTGGCTCCTCTCTGCTTTACTTTTACAGGCCTTTTCCTACCGAGGAGAGCGTAGAAGACGAGGACATCTACAACCACCTGGTGGACCTCATAGAGTAGGTTTTCCTCCCATCGATGTCTTTAACAACCTTTTAAAATACACAACTATACATCTTAGAAAGTCGGTTAAAAATCTTCAGGCTGCTGTAGACGAAAGCACCATTTGTTCCCTGGGTGTTGACTGGCAGGCAGCCACCTCCTCCGACGCTCTCGGCGTGAGCTCGCCCCGCTCGTCTCGTAGTTAACCACAAGTTGTGTGGGACTGCGAATTAATCATCTGTTATTCCAGTCCTACTCTGCAGATTTAAATGGCAGATTTTGTTGTGTATAAAAATGAAGTTCAGTAACAGAAGTTCAAAGAGGTGGTTTGAACTGGAGTCAATTCAAGTTTGATTCTTTGTTTTAAACCATCGTCACATAATTGTCATAAAAGTGGAGCGCAATTTGTGGCAAGACACATAATTTTCCTATTAAATGCTGTATGATCAACCAATAACGGATTAATTGATAACACTAATTTGGCATAGTGGACACTGGTCCTCTGCTCACAGGTCCCATAACATGCCGCTGGAATAAAGAAATGAAGAGTTCATTCTCAAAACCAGATAACTCCATTTTGGTAGATTTTCAGAAAACATTTTTGTTGTTGTTGTTTGCTTGAGATAATAATCAATCAAACTGAAGCTGAGTGGATCTGACACGACAGAAGTAGAGATAACTGAAGTTTGGTTGATGTTGTCTCAGGTAGACGATGGAAAAGTTCTGAAGGTTTGTGAAGACGGAGTTATCTGTTTTTGCAAATGAACTCTTCAAATGTTGTTCCAGTTGTTATTAGTTCAAGACAATGAGCTCCAGTTGGAGGTCACGAGGCGTCACTGAGGGCTTTGTCATGGTGGCCCTTCACTAGATAAACCCCACGATGCTCTGTGGTCGCCTACATGGAGTCTGAGCTTCATCAAGGTACTACAGCTTATCTACAATACTTTAAATGTGTATTATCTTGGAAAATGGGATCAGATTGGCACATACTGAGCAATAAAT